CTTGCTTGTGATTTACCCGTGTTTGTGCTGCCACGCACACAATGTTTCAAAAGTGGTTTCTATGTTGCCCTTTATTTGTGTATGTATTTGTGATAAGTGTGCGTCTTTACGCAATACTTTTGGCCTTGCTGTTTGTGCCGCTGGCCCGCAGTACATGACGGTTTGCCCTCCCGTGAAAATCATATGCCCTCCATTTAGATTTGTTCTGGCGCCGGGTCTGTCTGTCAGCACTCCTTTCAGACAAGACATATACTACGTGAAGACACGTTAAGCTCGTGTTGTGTTCAAGGAACCTGTCCTTGGCCAGGAAAAACAGGTACTCGCTTGTTTAATTATGTTTGCGGTCTAGATTTCTTCTTCTTTTTTGAAGTGAGAAGTTGTCCGTCCGTCGGACAAAACGAAAACTCTTCGGTTCTCCACAAATTACATAAGTCACCCAAATCAGCGTTAAAAAAGCGGGAGGCGCCGGAAAATCCCCTATTAATGTATTGATTATAGCTCCGGGTCCGTATAGGTCGACGTCTGGGTCCGGATCCGGACCGCGGTCCGCCTGTTGTCGACGTCTGGTGTAGAGCATGGTTTGGGATTGGGCCGTTGCCCTGGGCAAGACACTTCTCCCCAAATCGTCCTGTGGGGATTGTCCACAGTATTGAGTATGTAAGTCGCTTTGGATAAAAGCGTCTAACAAGTAAAATGTTATATAGGGTTTTGTTAATGAAATGCAAAGGCTAAAACCCAAAGTCCCTCCAACACTGCCCCTGCCTCAAACACCCCCATTGTACTCTTTCGTTTTCTTCTGTAACATAGTGACATCACTAAGTAAAACTCACCCTTCTCGCCTTGCGCACCAAAACATTGTACGCAATATGCTAAGGGTTGGGACATCTCTAAGCAGTTGACCATTCACAACAGAGCTGACCCGCTAACCAATCAGAGCAGACTGGGCTCTGGTTTCAGACAGAGGGTGAAAAGAAGTGCTGCAGCACAGGTAGTATGAGAACAATAAAGAGCTTTTTGAACATTAANGGCCCTCGAGCCACATGCGGCCCTTTAAGCCCTCTGCTCTGGCTCCCTTGTAGTCCTACAAATACTTTTATTTTATTTCCTTCTTATTTTTGTCTAAGCTCAAGGGAGCCAGAGCAGAGGGCTTAAAGGGCCGCATGTGGCTCGAGGGCCGCGGGTTGCCGACCGCTGGAACCATAGGGGGTTAAATAACTAATTTGATTTAAATTATGAGAGCCGCCAATGATAGCTAGCTAGAAATCTAACATTTGCTAGGTTTTGTGTTAGAAAAGAAAGCAACCAATCAGATGTTGTTCTGGGTCTCTGGGTAGAATATCCTTCAACCAGACCCGGCGCCAGAACAAATCTAAAGGGAGGGCATATCATTTTCATGGGAGGGCACACAAAACCGTCACGTGCTGCGGGCCAGCGGCACAATATATATCAAACAGCAAGGCCAACAGCATTTCGTAAAGACGCACACTTATCACAAATACATACACAAATAAAGGGCAACATAGAAACCACTTTTGAAACATTGTGTGCGTGGCAGCACAAACACGGTAAATCACAAGCAAGGCACACTGGTTAAGGATGTCCTCAGGAAATAAATATAGAGACGGAGAAGATTAACTATTTAGCCCGCCTTGGGCATGGTTTATTTCTATGCACTGCACTCGGACATGCTGTGGAGTGAATCGTGTTCACCTCTGAGAGGGAGTTGGTTGACAGCTAAAAAAAGCTATAATATCAACGACACGTAATAACGGTTACACGGGTAAATCACAAGCAAGGCACACTGGTAAAGGATGGTAGCTTCCTCAGGAAAAAAATATAGAGACGGAGACGATGAAATGTTTAGCCCGCCTCGGGCTTGGTTTATTTTCCTGCACTGCACTCGGACATGCTGTGGAGTGAATCGTGGTCACCTCTGAGAGGGAGTTGGTTGACAGCTAAAAAAAGCTATAATATCAACGACACGTAATAGAGGTTCCGTGCCAGCTGATTTGCACCAAAGTACTAATTTCCTTATTTGTTTCCTCGCGTATCTGTCTCTCTCTCTCCACAACTCTCACATGAAATGTGTTCTTTTGATGCGGCATGCCTTATCAGTCCTTTATCAGTCTGTAATGCGTGTTTCCAGTCGAAAAAACCTTTGACAGTAAAAGCCGCATCAGATGAAGACGTATTTACTTTAAACTGTCTACAGGGGAAGCAAAAGGCTGCGTCTGCTTTTAAAGAATATTCAAGCCATGGTCTGTTGTTGTACCATGACGTGGCAAAAGTGCGCTTCTTTCCTGAAAACAATCAGTTTCACCTGGTTGGGTTTATTAA